CCAGGGCTCCAGATCCCCCTTGTCCTCACCTGTTTAATTAGACAGGTACTTTTTGCTTGTTTGTTTGAGAAAAGCATCACCATGTAGAGCAGGCTGGCCTGGAAATCACAGAGATCTGCCTGCCTCTGCCTTCTAAAGCTTGGTTTTAAAGGCAAGAGACATCAGACTCAGTCCCTAGTTGCTGATTTTGTTTGTTTGCTTTTTGAGAAAGGGTTTCTCTGTGTAGACCAGGCTGGTCTAGAACTCACAGAGCTACACCTGCTTCTGCCTCCCAAGTGCTGGGAATAAAGGTGTGTGCCACCGTTGCCTGACTCTAGTTGCTGATTTTTAATACAACATTTAAAATAGAAATAAGGGACCAATAAGATGGCTTAGAGGGTAAAGGTGCTACCAAGACTGACTACTTGAGTTTGATTTCCAGGACCCGTATGGTGGAAGGAGAGAACAGATTTCAGCAAACTGTCTTCTGACCTCTATATGACCTGATGGGCATACATGTGCTATGGCACATAGATACTCTCACATGTGTGAGTATCAACACACACATGTACACACGAATGCACTTGAGTGCACACACACACACACATACACACACACACACACACACACACACACACACACCAAATGATTGAGTAAATAAATGTAAATTGAAAAGAAAATTTATTTTTATAGTTTCTAAAAAAAAAACACTCCTATTTTACCTTACAATAATAATTGTTTATGTACTTTTCCCCTTGTAAGTTTTTAGGTTTTGAGACAGAATTTATTGTGTTCAAGGCAGGCCTCAAATTTGCTATGTACTTGAGGATGATCTGAACTTCTGATCCTTCTTCCATGTGCTGGGTCCACATGACAGGGTTGGCATCCAAGTGTTTTTATTCTGCACCATAATGTTAGCCTGACATCTAGTGGCAGAATAGGTATATTGTCGCCGTTATTAGCACGCTATTCATTGCAGGTGCATTGATTTAACCACACTTAGAGCACTGTTACAAATAGGTACTTCTTTTCTTTTTCTTTTTCTTTTTTTAAAAGATTTTATTTATTTATTATGTATACAACATTCTGCTTCCATGTATATCTGCACACCAGAAGAGGGCACCAGATTTCATAACAATGGTTGTGAGCCACCATGTGGTTGCTGGGAATTGAACTCAGGACCTCTGGAAGAGCAGTCGGTGGTCTTAACCTCTGAGCCATCTCTCCAGACCTAAACAAGTACTTTTTAAAGGAAACAGCTTGACAAAAAATATGTCATAGGATTTGGGTATCATTAAAATAGAGACGAAAGCAATGAGAAGAAAATTGGCCAAAAAAAAAAAAAAAAAAAAAAAAAAGCCAAAATTGATGAGGTGGCACATGCTTGTGCTCTCTTGCACTCAGGAGGGTGAGGCAGGAGGATCAAGAGTTCAAGGCCAGTCTAAGCTAAATAGGGAGGCCCTGCATAAAAAAGCCCAATTCCCATGTGTGGTGATAGTCTACTGGTGTCCTTTTCTACCTGTGCCAGGAGAGACCCGTGCACCGTCTATGTTATGGCGATCTCGGGATTGTTTTCTGAAGTGTATTAGTATATTTTGTTGCTGTGATAAAACACTCGAAAAGGCAACATCAGCAGGAAGGTGGTGCATGCCTGTAATCCCGGCACTCAGAGGCAGAGGCCAGGTGATCTGAGAGTTTAAGGTCTACTTGGGCTACAGAGCGAGTTCCAGGACAGCCAGGGATACAAAGAGAAACCCTGTCTCAAAATGAAAAGAAAAGATACAGAGTCACTTGGCCATGTGGGGTCCCAGTCATGAAGTAGGGAGAGATTATGCCTCCAGCAATTTGGGTCTTCCCTCCTCAGTTAAGGTTTTCTGGAAAAACCTTCATAGACCTGCCCAGAGATGTGTCAACTGGGCGATTCTAAATCTTGTCAAGCTGACAATGTAGACTCATCATCACACGGAAATTCTTTTGGTTAAGGTTAATATAGAAGTTTATTTATATATTTTGACACATCTTTTTTCTCTTTTTAAATTTCCAGCAACAGAAGGTACTCTCTTCAGACCTAAAACCAAAATCAAAATGATAGTTTTAAGAGAGAAGAAACCCAAACTAAACTTGGTGACGGCCCCTGATGCTGTGAGGCTGCCTAGCACTCAGAACTGTGCCATGCTCTGTAGATGGAAGTTTCTGTCCTACCTGGTCCTGCAGCCGTTTAGTTCCAAACAAACACACAGAGGCTTCTATTAATTATAAACTGTTTGGCCTGTTGCTCAGGCTTCTTATTGGCCAGCTCATTCTTAATTATTAACCCATTTCTATTAATCTGTGGATCTACATATTGTCTTGGCTTACCAATGGTGCCTGGACTTCTTGATTCTACAGCAGCCACATGGACTGCACCTCTGCCTTTCCTCTTCCCAGAATTCTTCTAGTCTGTTTGCCCCACCTATACTTCCTGCCTGGCTATGGCCAAACAGCATTTTATTGAACCAATACGAGTGACAAATCTTTAGTGTACAAGAGCGTTATCCCACATCAGTGGTCTACTCAAGGTCACCAGCCCAGCTTTGTGGCAGAGCAAGATACATAACTGTTTCCACTTATAGACAAAGCAAAGTCACAGGGTGCTCTGAAGATCATGAGGGCCCCGCAGATGCCAAGTGCCCCTCTGCTGGTGGAAAAGAGTGCCTGTTGCTCTTTGCCCATACAGCTTTGACATAGGTCTGGCCACCCATACGGGAGATGTCGAGGAATCTGATCCTTAGCTGTACCAATTTCTGACAGCATCTAACATGGTGAGCCTACTTCCAGAGGCTCCCTATGGACTGCCCAGGGGAAGCTTGAACTCTGTGTGAGCTCCATCTGTCACCCTCTTCCTGAGATACCCATGGGTCATGTAGTGTGTGTCCCCCTCACTTTCACAGACCTGGCTAGATTCCCTGTGGTGTGCGCCTGCTGGCTTTGAGCTCAAGAACATCAGTGGCTCAAAGATAAAAAATGGTTGCTGAAAGACATGCCACATGTGAGCCTTACTTTCATGTTGAGAGTGGAATGGTGGTTACCAGAGGCTGGGCACAAGGGAGAGGAATGATGGACAGGATGAGCAGTGGGGAACAAGGTACAGTTAGAGGGGAATTAAGGGTGCCATGTGCTAGATAAACTATATTTTTCAAAAACCTAGAAGAGATTATGCGTGTCTGCAAAATGTGAGATGAATATATGCTGTGGTTTGGCCACCAGACAAAGTGTACCCATATGAGAACACCACGAGGGACTTTATAAATGTGCAACATTTTGATGTATTTGTTCCTCAAAAGGTAAAACTGATAATGTGAAGTGAATTAAAGGTGTTTTACTTACTGTTAAAAAAATCTGCAGTATATTTTTGGGGTTACAGGTGGTGCGTGGGCAGCTGTGTGTGGTTCTGTGTATGTTCTGCCCACTCAGTGTTTCATGCAGTGTGAGCAGGGCTGGCAACACAGTTTGTGAGATATATGAGGATGTGGGCTTCCCATTCAAACAGCAGGCACCCAGTGTGACAGACGGCACCGGTTACAGGCCACTATGCTGGCTCCCTCCCCCAACTCTTTCTTTCTCTGGCAGTGTTTCACTATGTGGTCCAGTCTGGTTTCATACATCCATGCTCTTCCTGCCTCAGCTTTCCAAATGGTGGGATCATAGGTTCGCTGTACCAGGTTAAGACAATGTTTTCTGTGGTCTCTTCCATGCCAGGGGCCTGAGCCAAGAATGAGAATGAACCGTTGGTTATATCCAAACCCAACATTAAGTTAGTTTCACTCTTTCCTTTTTTTTTTTTTAAAAAAAAACTTAATTAAAATGTCAAAATGGGACAAAACGTGTTACAAAATCTGTTATTGCACCATTTTAAGCATAGTCAGTGCACGAGACGCGGGCAATGTCATGCAGTTGTCGCCACCATTCACAGCAGTTCAGGAACCGCACTCCTTAACTGCTAACTCCTCATTCTCCCAAACTCTCAGCCCTGGAACCAGCAGCCTGCTTACTTCTACCAGTTGACCGCCCTTGGTACCATAGCCTAGTAAGACCTGTCACAGGGATTGCTTTTCTCTGAATGGCCGATTTCACTTGCCACGATGTCTTTAAGAACTACACACTGCGTGCCAGTTTCTTCCCCTTTAAAGGTTTAATGGCACTCCTTTTGGCTAGACCACATTTTGCTTACCTATCCATCTCCTAAAGGACAAATGATGCTCTATCATATGTATATGTTCCATTTATTTTCCTGCTAGTCAGCAGACCCTTCCATTGTTTCCACAGTGCTACTGTAAACATGGCTGTGTAGAACCCCCTTAAGGTTGTATTTGGGGGCCGGAGGAGATAGTGAAGTTTATAAAGTGTTTGCCATGTAAAGCATGAGGACCTGAGTTCAGTCTCATGTGAAAATCCTGGCATGGTGCTGTGTGCTTGGAATCCCTAGGGCTTGGTGCCTGGCAGCTTAGTGAGCCTCAGGCCCCAGTGAAAGACCCTGTCTCCAAAAACAGTGAGTGGCTCCCGAGGAGTGGAATCCAAAGCTGACTCTGGACTCCACACACATTGTATACATGCATGCGAATACCTCTCCATGCATCCATATATGCACAAATTCAAACCCATCTCCCAGCCCCAAAGACTGTTTCCAACTCTTTGGGTTGGTACTTAGAAGAGATGATCACTGGCTTCTGTTTTTAAGGTTTGAGGTGTCTCCACGCGGACTTCTACAGCTGCGGCACTGTCTACTTTCCCAGCAGGGAACAAGGGTTTCAGTCTCCGTATTTCACCATCACATCTTCTCTCCCTCCCCCCCACCTCTCCCTTCTCCCCCTCTCTCTCTTCTCTCTCACCTCCTCCTCCTCCTTCCTCATCCTCCTTTTGTCTGATAGTAGCATCCAAAAGGTGTGAGGCTGCATCTCATTGTGACTTTGCATTGGGTCTGTCCAGCTTTGTCTTTAAATTTGTTTTCCTTGCCACGGTGACTGTTTTCTGCTTCTTTGTAGGAAGGAGATGAAGTTGCTGGAGCAGTCCGGCTCTCTCAAAGGCTCCTTGAGTGCAGAGCAGCAGTTGTCACTCATCAGTGGCTGCGGTAACCTAGCAGAAGCAGTAGAGGGCGCCATGCACATTCAGGTGAGTCCCAGCCAAGGCATGCTGTTTTGAAGAGACTGAAGTTGTCTTGCTGCTTTTCTGGAAGCACCGCAGCAAGATTCCACCATGGAGCTGTGGACATTTTGTGCCTCCAAGGTCAGAATTTTGTTCTGTGTGACAGAAAGCAGGGTCATCAAAACATCCCTCATTCAGATGCTCATCAAAGTACGATGACAATGTGTCTTAGAGTTGTCAGAATATTGAGGAAGAAATGGGTTTCTGGACTCCTAACACTATTTTATTTTGCCCTGTCACTTGGGACTTGCTCTGTAGACCAGGCTGGCCTTGAACTCACAGAGTTCTGTCGCAGGAGTGCTGAGGTTAAAGGTGAGTACCACCAGGTCTGGCTGGTCTACCACCATCTCAAATGGACACATTTCACACTAACAAGTAGAAAATTGAAGGAAGTCACCTAAAAGAAAACCTTCAGCATTTAGATTTTAGATAATTTCGCTAAAAGGAAAAAAAAGGAATTATCACAGGTACTTTTTGCTTGCCATTTATCTGGAGAATGGTAGTGGTTGCTCCAGGCAGAGACTGGCATCTAGGCGCTGGCACTGCAGCTTTCCAGGCTACTGTCACTATAGCTCATGTACCTACCCTGCCGCCAGTCCCTGCTCCTGTCTTAAGTGCAACTGTCACTCTCTGCTATAAGCTTGAAATGAATTTACTTAAAACTCAGAGGCTATTCTCAGTACTCCTCAGTGTTTGTGTTCTAACGGGACGTGCTGAGGACATGGAGAAGCTAGAGAGGTCACTTGTGTCTCATTGTGGACCCTGTCCTGAGAGGTTAGTTCCTTGTCTCTGTGGCTCAGATTTCTCCACTTCCTTTATCAAGTGTGTGGAGGGGCAGAGATGGAGAGGAGTGTTTTCAGTTCTTCTCTATAGAATAGAGCAGTCACACTTACCATTGGCTTCAGTTGTCTGTGGTCAGTAAGAGTCCAAAATACTATTGTCACAATGACAACGTAAGCAACACAGTCCTATGACACTTTCCAGTGTGTTGTTTTGTGGTTCTTTACTGTTAGTTATTTCTGTTAGTCTCTCACTTGATAAATTGAATGTATCATATACATGCATGTCGAGGAAAGGCAGCACAAATAATGTTTGGGCTGTCTGTGGTTTGGGCAAAGGCTGACCTGGAGCTTACCATGTAGCTCAGGATGGCTTTGAACTTGCAGCTGTCCATTTGCCCCAGTGTCCTGAATGCTGGGATTACAGCATTGTGCACCATACTCAGTTGTCTGTTCATCTCTGTCTCTTGGTATGGTATAGGCTGTATGAAATACGGGGCCCCAAAGGGAGGGGTTAGAGGGTGTCTGGGTGAGCTTGCAGATGTCCTGTTTCCCCATTAACTCGCCGGGCTTGCTTCTGGAGAGCATAGAAGCCACCTAGGTCTGGTTGTGGTGGAACAGCTTCTTCCTGTGGGTTTAAATTTGAAGGAAGTGTGTTCTTTATGTATTGGGATTGTGTGTGTGTGTGTGTGTGTGTGTGTGTGTGTGTGTGTGTGGAACAGGCAGTGACAAAGGCAGGTAGGAACCTTCTCTGCAGCCTGTGGTCAGAACACACTTCAGTCAGACAGGCCTGGGGACAATCTCAACACAGTGTGACTGGGTAGCTTTGATATGTGCATTAACTTCTGAGCTCCACTTCCTCGTTTGTATGAGGACACTAACCTCACTCTGGAGTGGTGTGAGGATTTCCATCTGAGAATCTGTCTAAGGTGACTCTTCTGGAAGGCAAGTCTCTACTTATCCAATGACATGATTAAAAGTCACCGCTTTTGGGGGTTGATTTGATGTGAGAGCTGCCAGCCTCCCAGGGGCATTGGCCTACACCCCCTGTGGCTCTAAAATCCAAAGATTCTCAGGTATCATCTTTGCATAGACTCAGTGTCCATCCATCTCCTCCTGTGGACTTTAGATAATCTCAATGTTCTATCACACCTGACACAATAACCGTGCTATGTAAATAGTGGCTATGCTGTCCAGCATAGGGGACAATGGTGAGAAAAGTCTGCAGATACCTAGTGGAGGCACAGTTTGCTTTTTTTTCACCCTTCATGTTTTCAATCTGAAGCTGGTCGGATCCCTGGAACCTGCTGATGCAGCAGCACAGCTGCATCTGGCTAAGTAGCAGACTGCCTATTATAATTACACATACACCTGATTTAGTTATAGAGTGTGATCCGACATGTGCACATGTGATGTACCACTGTGATTTTCCCAGTTTCTCATTTCGCAAAGCATTTTGGTCCTGTCTCCCATCAGGAGTCTCTAATTCCAGCATCTTGTCACATCTTGGGTCTGTCTAGCCAGGTACCCAGAGATGTTTTGTTTCTTCAGAGATGTTCATAATACAGCTTTTGAATTCATGCATGAACTTTCACCCCCAACCAGGTGTGGTGGTGCATAGTACTCCCTGCACCTGAGAGGTGGAGGCAGGAGCAGTTCAAGGTCATTCTTGGACACATAGTGAGTTCTAGGTTAGCCTGGGCCCTGTGAGATCGTCCAAACCTTCCCCAGCATGCCCACCTTTCCAGAAATAGAAATAAATTTTATCCCCTCCTCAGTTATTTATTCTCGAACACTGAGGCTATTCCCTCTTCTGTCACAGGACACATGGTTTTGCAATGAGACAACCTGCCATGTTGCTTCCTTTTAAGTTACTTTTAGAATGCTTATTTACACATATTCCAGCATGGGTGGGTGTGAAGACATGCCTTCGGATAATGAATAAACCTGTGGTTCAAAACTTTCTTGCTATGTTTTCCAGGTTGGCCTGGAATTTGTGGTTCAAGTAATATTCCTCAGCCTCAGCCTCTGGAGCACTGGAGTAAAGTCAGGTATCACCATGCCTGGGGATTTCTTTGACTTCTGTCCCCATTTTGAAAAAATAGTCTAGCAGATAATCACCATAACCACCTAATACAGTGTATTGTGGGGGCTGGAGAGATGGCTCAGCAGTTAAGAGCACTTGTTGTTCTTTCAGAGGACATGGGTTCAATTCCTAGCAACCACATGGCAGCTCATAACCATCTGTAACTCCAGTTTCAAGGAACCAGACACCCTCTTCAGACCTACATCCATACGTGCAAGCAAAACACTTATTATACGTAAAATAAAATAGATCTATTTTATTTTTAAAAAAATGAAAAATCTTCAATAGTGTGAGGACGTTGTAGTGACTTGGATATAAAGTCAATTCTTTAAGGGATAGTCTTAAGGGGACATATGCTACTGTATGAGGTCCTTGACCCAGAAAATGATTCATAGATGATAGTTATTTTATAAACTGTATATTGTATGATTTGTGGACAATTTTTGACAACAAATAAATGGCATGGAGCAAGAGATGGTGTTTCCTATGTAGCAGACGCCATAACTAAAGTCTGTCTCTGTTTTCCAAGTAATGAAAGTGTTTATGTTGAGCTCTGTCTGTTATGTGCAGCAACCAGAGCTGGGAGAGGAAGGGAGGAGAATTGAGAGGAGCAATTCAGACCCTGCTAGGTTTAATTCCTGTAAGAGACTGCATTGGGAAACTGTCTCCAGGAACAGGGAGAGAGTGCGCAGGGCTGGGGAGGTTTAAGGCAGATAGGAGTTGACAGGTGGAGTTTGGGGAGCATAAGGGGGTCATGGGGAGCATGGAGGAGAAAGCAGTGGAGGCAGGAGTGACTCAGGGTGGCTTTTAATGACAGCTCACAGTTCCTTAGAATAAATGAGTTAACACTTCTAACACGTCCAGGATAATATCATCACCAGGACACTCAGTGACCTTTAGAAACAGTTTGGGTTGTAACAGTCAGTGTTTTCCCTTAGAAACAGAGTCTGGCTTGTAATTTCTGTCCTGATAGAATCTTCCCAAAAGGACGGCCTGAAGAGGTGACACTAATCAGAAAGGGAGGTGGGAAGGAAGTCACATGGTGATCCCATTTGCTAGATTTTATTGGGCATGCTTGTGTAGGTTTTCTTTCTTTTCTGACAGGGTCTCACTCTGTAGTTCAGCTCAGGTTAGCTTAGAATTCACTATGTAGCCCAGGCTGACCTTGAACCTAAGAGCATCTTTCCATCTCAGTCTCTCAAGAGCCAGGATTATAGGCATGGGTCACTACATAGGGTTTGTAGTTTCTTTAAACAATAATTTTTGGAATTCTTATTTCTTTGTTGTGTTAGTTATCAAACACCAGGGTGTTGCATATGATACTCAAGTTTTCCACTGCTGAGCCATAGTACACAAGTTCTCCATTGGTGATCTACATCTCCAGTCCTCATTTAGATGAGGCCTTGCTATGTAGCAAAGGCTGTCCTTGAACTTGTGATCCTGCTGCCACCATGACAGGTAAATGATAAACTTAATAATCCAATGTCTATAATTAGTACCTATCAGAGTTTCATCCTTTGTTTACCAGGCAAACGAATGAACAAAACCTTCATAGAAAAACCATGTAATGGTATGCTGCATGTTTTAAAGACTATGTTAATGTTTTTAATACCCAGGAATGTTAAATATACAGCTTGGAGAAGGCTGGGTATAGTGAGTCACTCCTATAATTGTGCCATTTAAGAGGCAAAGGCAAAGAGAATTGATGTAAACTTGAGGCCAGCAAGATCCCATTTCAAAAATAAACATTTATGTATTGTCTGTACACACACACACACACACACACACACACACACACACACACACACAAGTCACAGAGAACTAAGTGTTTTCTCAGGTCCATTATCCCAAAACAAATCCACTTCTTACTATATTTAATTTCCTTAAGACTGTATCAGATAGAAGTACAGTGTTTGAGCTTAATTTCCATCTGTGAATATCAAGAAAGATGGAGTCTCAAAGCCCACTGATGTCTGTCCACAGGGCCTCACACAGCTAGGAAACAGCCAGCCCTGTCACTGAACTGCACCCCACAAACCTTCGGGGACCTTTAGTTTTTGTTTTTGCTTTAAGACAGGATCTTATGTAGCCCAGGCTGGCCT